CATTCACAAACATGAAAAGATGGCCAGGTATGGCTTCAAGCTGGAAATTGCATCACCCGACTTCTGTTGCAATGCATTGCGCCACATATCATGTGACTTCTTCAGGGAGATGAGCTTCTAGGGGCTTGTTTTCCAACTACATTACTGCTTGCAAAGAATATGTAGGTATATAAATATTCATAGCCTGGACACAGGCCCACCTTAAACTCCTAGTGTTAGTTCTGCTAGGGTTGCATTTAAATATTTCTTGTTTTTATGTTTGCTAAATATACAAATATACAATAATCTCTGTTTTCGAAAATTCATTTGTTCTTACTGTTTTAAATCTCACACACAGAAAAAAAAACCTGTTATCATTACATTAATTAAGAGATTCAATGTTATATCTTTTAAGATTGACATGTTAAAAGATTGATTATTGTCCTTCTTTGTAATAGATATTTTGTTCTTTCATCCATTGTTGTACTAATGGCTGTATTTATGTATACCAGTGACATACTTCAAAAAGCTTTAGTGGAGCTAAAAAGAAAAATACATTTTTATATTTAAGTGTTTTTCATTGTGTTTTTATCAGTATTCTAAGAGTTTATATAAGTCTAATTTGTATATATTTTATTGTCACTAGCAAATACTAGAATAAAATACTATTCACTGTTTTAAAAACAACTAGATTTTTTTTGAAGCAGCAATGTTTTTATAGTTATGTTTTGTTCTCTGTTTTCTGAGCACAAAACACAGCATGACTGACCTTTCAGCTACACTACATTCACACTGCATTCACCTGTTCCCAGGTACTCTTCAAATTTAGTTCACTCAATATGCTAATCATTCTAACCACTACTACAATGACTACTACAGCTATAACTACTATGATGATGATTGGTGCTGACTATAATGATCCTAATTTTAATTCATTGATTGAATCTTCATGACTTCAAAAACAGCTTCTCAGAAGGGAGATGGGGAAGGTTACTTGAAATTATGTTTGAAAAGATGTTTTTGTGTTCATTGTTGGTTTACTATAAACTGCAATTGTTAGGGAAACATTCCATATTTCAAATACTCTATCTATTCTTTTTTGCTGTAAACCCTAACAAGCTGAAATTTGGTTTTGTAAAACTCTGTGTATGATAGCCAATGACGATATTTCTTCATAAAATACTGTCTTCACCTCCTATTTTATCTCTCTTTTTTGGATCTAGGTGCTTCTGATCCCCTTCAGTCCATTTCAACCACCTCTTGTCTACATAGATAGTGACTATCGATAAGCAAATTGGGCATGGCTCAGTTTGCTATATATTTACCATGTAATGTAATCCACCAAATTGCACCCAAATAGTAAGATTCCAAGGAAAAGTATTGATGCCACATCCTTATTATATCTTAGAAATATACCACCACACAATGTTGGACTTTAAAGTTTTCACACACATATTCAACAATCCTATGTACATTTTTTTTAGTTTATTTAACTCCTTAAAGTGTTTCTAAATCCAGGACCCGGCATTCACTATATCTGATCTCCCACAGTATGACAGAACATGGAAATGCAATTATTTTAGTAAATATAAACTGGTAAATACCTTTTCTCATCAGCAGCATATAGCAGTCATATGACTTCTATCAGTGTCCAGCAAAGCACTGGTTACAGCTTGTAGGAGGAATTTTCATTCCCCTGTAGGAGGATGCAGGACCCCTGACCTCTGTCTGGAGAGTGCTGATTGGCCCTGGGCTGATCACATGCACTCTTTCAAGAAAAAAAAACTCTCCAGCAATGCACCAAACTGAGCATGTGTAGCATGCTCAAGCCTCTGTTCTTTCAGGAGATATTTAGGATACACTGGAAGAAGGGGAGGGTCAGAGAAGAGAGGATAAAAAATCCTTTTTACACAATGAGGAAGATTAACCCCTTAGGTGTCACAGTGAGTATAACAAGTATGCTTTACTGCATATACAGACTGATTTTACTGTTGTGGGTTTAGTAACATTTTATCACAGCCTTGTGTGTGACCTGTAGGTGGGCTTAAATGCCTGGGAGGTGGTGTAGCGTCTATTTCATGTGACTGATGTGATTGGCTCTCACAGGGGGTCACATAATCAGCAGCATGTCCTGCTGTTGGTGACTGCTCGGTTAATATGCAGGGAGAGTGGCAGAAGTAAATGTGCGGCTGCTGGGTGTTAAAGCGCTACTAAACTTGCATTTAAAAAAAAATAGATCCCAGGTGGTTTAAGCAATGCATACTAGCACATCATGGCATACTTACCTAAAGATGAAGCACTCCAGCTGCGCGCTGTCACCGCTAACAGGGCTTCCATCTTCACCCAATCTTCCTTCCAGGTTCACGGGCTGTGACAGCTTTAATGACTGAGCCATGATGATGTCACTCCCATGCATGCGCACAGGAGTCAAAGCCATGGCACAGAACTATGAAGGGACAGCGTGAGTATGCTGTCTCTTCAGAGTGCATGAGCTGGTGATGTCACCGGCATCATGTTGTGTGACTACAATATAATGTGAAAAACTTACAGCGCAATATGTCTATCCAAATCAATATATACAAATATTGCAGCTAACATGTAAAGTGTTCCCACATACAAAAAATATATATATATAAAAAAAAAAATGCAGCGCAATACTAAATAATCAAATAATAAATGTACATAAAATCTTGCTCTGTAACAATTATTTAAATACCGTATGAGTGCTTAATCATATCAACTTATAATGAACATCTTAACGTACTCCATCCCATAATAATGTCTATATTAACCATTTTCTGAAAAACATATTCACTGTGCGTTTATATATTAACAATGTCCCAATACAAATGAATACTTGTTATTCAACCGTCCCTTAAAGACTCAGTGCTCCAAGTGATAATGTGCAATCTCTCCTCAGTACATATACATCCAGTGATTTCTTGTGACCCCCAGTGTTATATCCACCTCCGACACACTTATTCGCTCACCTTGTGCAATGACCTGAACCGTAAGGTCAAACCGCGCCTTTCCCTTTAACCTGGGTGGGTATGTTGATGTATCACTCTCCAACACCTCCTGCACCTCCACACTCCAAAACAAACCTCCTGGAAGTTGACCCGAACCATCAGGTCAAAAGCATGCCTTTGCGTTTTGGAGTGTGGGGGTGCAGGAGGAGTTGGAGAGTGATACATCAGCATACCCTCCCATGTTATGCGCTTTTAACATATTTTATGCATGTTATATACCTGTAAAAGCCTTCCTTAGATAAACATCTAAAAAGCCCTATACTGCTACTTGGATGTAATGTTAGCAGCCCCAGAAGACTCAGAGCTGTCACTCTATAGTATTCCCATTCATTCCTCCCCTGGATGCTACATAAAAGGTGATGTTATATAGGAAGGTGAGGGGAGGATGAAGGAGCATATAAGAGGGTTAAGACATGCTGGGGGAAATTAATTTTGCTAAGAAATGGACTATTCCTAACAAGGTCAAATTTGCTAGCAAGTTCAAAAGGCTCTTTGTAATTGAATAAAAAATAGTTTACAGAAAAGAAAACTATTGTACAATAGCATTTAGAGTTGATTTTTCTGTTTTAATAAGTTTATTTAAGGTTTCACAGAGAGGTATAGTAGGCAATATATGACATGCTTAGCTGAACAAGGTTCTGACCAAAGAATGCAAAGCTGTATATTTATCCCACGTATGTGGACCATATTGGGTATCAGATTTGGAATATGATTGGTCAAGTGCTATTGCTATTCTTAGGTACATATGATTAGGGGGGGTTCACACAGAGCTTAGAATAGAAAGTCATGAAATGTAGTACATCAGTATCTGATTTTTCTGTGTTTTTACCTCCAATTTTTTAAGTTGGTGACAAGGGTCTCTTTAAAAATTATGAGATTTTAGTGATTGAGTTAACACATACTTTAATCACTTCAATAACGGACACTTCCATCCCCTTCCTACCCATCATTGAATTTAGTTTAATCATACTTTAAAAGCTAAGTAAAAATTTTTTTATAAATAAATAAAAATGTATTATTAGGGAAAAATAATAAAAACAATAACTGCACATATTTTTGAAGAAATAAATTGCATTTATTTTTTTTCCTAAGAAGTTTACAAAACATTGTACAAGCAATCAATAGATGGTGGGTGCAATGTCAGGCTCCTGCAGACAAATCCTATAGCTTTCTGCCTGTACTTCTATACAGACTTTCTGTTTGAAAGTTGCAAGGCTTGGGAATGAACTATGAGGGTGCTCATCAGTGCCCTCGCAGTTTGTTGAGAACTACAAGCAGCAGCGTATTTACAGTGAGGCAAACAAGGTGTTTGCCTAGGGTACCAATTTTCAGGGACCGCCAGCGATATGCCAAGCTGCTCACTGCTGGAGTGTGGCCAACTGCTTCTGTGAAAACTTTTAGGGTTAGTAGTTTAATGGGGGGGGGGTTTGCTGGTGGTGGGGGAGAGAGGTATTGCTGGCGAGGGAGTGGGTTGGGGTTTGAGGTGGGTTGGCAGGTGGACACTATAACTGAGAATCATGGCTGTGGTTGGCTGAATGGTACTCGGGTGGAGTTTGACTTTGGCGGTACGATGGCAGAGCGGGTCTGGGAGGATGCCTGCTTGGCTTTCTCTCTCTCACTCTTGAATCTTCTGGCTCAGTGCTCCTTTGCCTCTCCTACCTCCTAAGTCCCACCCAACCTCTTCTTGGCACACTGTCACATGATCGCCACATGCCTCTAACATCTGATCACTCCACCCCCTAACAACTGGAGCTGTGACTAGTGATGTGAGGTGCTGGTGGGGGGTGCTCTGCCCTGCACTGGGAGCCAGAGACCTGTCGGTGTCACGCAGCAATAAGTAAATTACAGTGTAGGGACACTGAGAGTGCCTGTTTTGGTGATCAGTAAGGACCATTATGTGTGCAGTGTTCAGCAGGCATTATACAGGGATAGGAGATCAAACAGTACACAGGATGGTGTACCCTCTGACATCTTCTTTCTCTTGTAGTATGTCTGCAGACTCTGACTGTCTCCTGTACTATGTCTGCAGTGTCTGACCGTTTCCTGTAGTATGTCCGCAGTCTCTGACTGTCTCCTGTAGTATGTCTGCAGTCTCTGACCGTCTCCTGTACTATGTCCGCAGTCTCTGACTGTCTCCTGTACTATGTCCCCAGTCTCCGACCATCTCCTGTAATATGAATGCAGTCTCTGACCATCTCCTGTAATATGACTGCAGTCTCCGACCATCTCCTGTAGTATGTCTGCAGTCTATGACCATCTCCTGTAGTATGTCTGCAGTCTATGACCATCTCCTGTAGTATGTCTGCAGTCTCTGACCATCTCCTGTAGTATGTCTGCAGTCTCTGACCATCTCCTGTAGTATGTCTGCAGTCTATGACCATCTCCTGTAGTATGTCTGCAGTCTCTGACCATCTCCTGTAGTATGTCTGCAGTCTCTGACCATCTCAAAGAGATAAGTCTATGTGTGTGTTTGTTTTTGGTGATGCTGTGGTGGGGAACAATGTTGCATGGGAGAGGCAAGAAAATGTTTGCCCAGGGTCCAATCAATATTAAAGATGGCCCTGGCTGAGAGTTGTGGTGCTGCCCATGGGGGGGTGGCACCCAATTTTAGTGTTGCCTAACACCACTGACTACAAACCGTCTGCCAAGAAGGCAGAAAGGACCTGTAGTTTTCTCGTTCACAGATCCCTGTGTGGGCGAAGTCCCATACAACCGCTCTGATTTTGAAATATGACAGTGAGTGGTAGGGATTGGGGGCTGAGGAGAACATGTGATGGAGCATGTTACACATTACACCCTAAATATGTATGTAATGTGTAACATGCTCCAACAGGGGAACTTAGTTTTTTAAGCGTGCTAATCCCTTACAGGTAATATATAGTACTGTATAATTTTAGTCAGCACATATCTGGATTATTATAGTGTTTAACTTTCATTAAAGATACATTTTTGATAACTGTCTTTTTATTTTTATTTTTTTTTAAAGAAAAGCAGAAGATCACAATGAATATCAAGTGGAAAAGAATGCAGTGGTACAATATATCTTAAGAAGAAGCAATATATGTCCCACAGTACATTTCAGAGTACTGAATAAATAACAGGAACACAGTTGGCATTGCAGGTCAAACAATAGCCTATAATACAGAATATAACTTGTAAAAAAGTATAAATACAGATATAGGCAACTCAAGGGGATATAGCAAACTACAAAAGCCAATGTAATAGTGAAGATGCATTTTTTATTCTTTCATTATATTGAACAATAAACTTGTAATTCGACAAGAAAATTCACATTGGATACTGAAAAAGTAAGAAACAGGAGAAAAGAGAAGAAAAAAGAGGAGAAGGAAAATGTAAAGTGAAAAAAATTAAGAAGGGGAATGTCCAGTAAATGTCCAGTGCCCCCTCTCCCTCAAACTCAAAAGTTGAGACTTCCTCACCCAGTCCCTAGACATAAATTTTTGAAGATTTGCCTATGGTGACTGCTAAGAATAATCAGGGAGGATTCTCCATGATACAACATAGTTCCCATTCCTTATTATTAGAGATGAGCGAATCGAACCAGGCGAACCGGAATTCGATACGAATTTCAGGAAAAATTCGATTCGCGTCGAATCCGAATATTTGCCTACTTCGGGTGCGCGAATCGGATTTTTCCCGATCAGCCGGCAAAAGTGTCCCTGCAGAGAGCTCCGCTATTTCTGACAGTTCTCTGACAGAAGGAACACATGTACAGCGGTTGAAACATTGTATCTATTAGTTTTCATTTAGGATACAGATGTTTCAACCGCTGTACATGTGAAGAAGCTGTCAGAGAACTGTCAGAAATAGAGGAACTCTGCACATACACTTTTTGCCGGTTTGGAATTCTTATTTTCATCCTACTTCTTCTTCTTCTTCTACTACTTCATCCTCATCCTCAGAAGAAGAAGAGGATGAGGATGAAGAAGAAGAAGAAGAAGTAGGATGAAAATAAGAATAATTCCAAGCCGGCAAAAAGTGTATGTGCAGAGTTCCTCTATTCTGCAGATACACTTAGAGGAGCTCTGCAGATACACTTAGAGGAGCTCTGCACATACACTTTTTGCCGGCTTGGAATTAATCTTATTTTCATCCTACTTCTTCTTCTTCATCCTCATCCTCAGAAGAAGAAGAGGATGAGGATGAGGATGAAGAAGAAGAAGAAGAAGAAGTAGGATGAAAATAAGAATAATTCCAAGCCAGCAAAAAGTGTATCTGCAGAGCTCCTCTAAGTGTATCTGCAGAATGTCATTTATGGAAACAAATAGATACAATGTTTCAACCGCTGTATGGAGTGAATGTCCCACAACTGTCAGAAATAGACTATTTCTGACAGTTCTGGGACATTCCCTCCATACAGCGGTTGAAACCGCTGTATGGAGGGAATGTCCCACAACTGTCAGAAATAGACTATTTCTGACAGTTCTGGGACATTCCATTCCATACAGCGGTTGAAACCGCTGTATGGAGTGAAATGTCCCACAACTGTCAGAAATAGACTATTTCTGACAGTTCTGGGACATTCACTCCATACATGTCCCAGAACTGTCAGAAATAGACTATTTCTGACAGTTCTGGGACATTCCCTCCATACAGCGGTTGAAACTGCTGTATGGAGTGAATGTCACAGAACTGTCAGAAATAGACAGAAACTGTCACAGAACTGTCCTTCTTCATCCTTCTCCTTCTTCTCATCCTTCTTCTCATCCTTCTTCTCATCCTTCTCCTTCTTCTCATCCTTCTTCCTCATCCTTCTCATCCTTCTTCTCATCCTTCTCCTTCTTCTCATCCTTCTCCTTCTTCTCATCCTTCTTCTCATCCTTCTCCTTCTTCTCATCCTTCTTCTCATCCTTCTTCTCATCCTTCTCCTTCTCTCTCCTTCTCCTTCTCCTTCTCCTTCTCCTTCTCCTTCTTCTCATCCTTCTTCTCATCCTTCTTCTCATCCTCTTCTTCTCCTTCTCCTTCTCTCATCCTTCATCCTTCTCCTTCTTCTCATCCTTCTCCTTCTCCTTCTTCTCATCCTTCTCCTTCTCCTTCTTCTCATCCTTCTCCTCCTTCTCCTTCTCCTTCTTCTCATCCTTCTCCTTCTTCTCATCTTCTCCTTCTCCTTCTTCTCATCCTTCTCCTTCTCCTTCTCCTTCTCCTTCCTCATCTCCAAGGGCATTTAAATTAAAGGTACAGTGTTCTGCACTAATTTAAAGGCTCTCTGAAGCCTAGAAACCCTTTTTATAAGTTAACTTTGTAGCGAATTAATTCGCATCGAATCGAATTTCTTCCTGGAATTCGCCGAATCAGCCGAATCGAATTTTTGAAAAATTCGCTCATCTCTACTTATTATGCTTGTCAAGAGAATCATTTATGACACCTGGTAAATATCCATTTATGACACCTGCTAAATATTCCATTTAAAGATGTGCTCGATGAAAAAAAATCTGTTTCGCTTTATTTTAGATTAGTTTGTTAAGTCAATCATTTCATTTCATCATTATATTCATTATGTTAGAATGATTGATATATTTGGATTATTTTTATATATCTGTTGCTCCAAGTCAGTTTGTATTTCCGGAAGTTATTTAGATTAATTTAGAGTTATTTAGATTATTTAAATTATTTCGATTAATTCGTTATGGTGTTATATTATTTCAGTGACTTGCTTGCGACTTCGATGCAACTTGCTAGTGACTTTGATACTGCTTGAGACTTGCTTGCGAGTTTGATGTTTTTGTGACTTTGACTTTGGCTAATCAGAGTATGACACATATTATTGAACTTACAAAACACTCAGAAGTCACAAACAAATAAAACAAATGAATACAAATTTGTTGTTTTCATTATCATTTGTTTTGGTTTTGTTGAAATTCATTATTCTTTTTATTTGGAGATTCAGATGCATCCGAATCTCCAAATAACAAAAATTTTGTCTGATTTTAAATTTGTAACTAAAGGAATTGCACATGTCTACATAGCATGAATCTCCATCACGGAGGGAGACCAGTGTTGTTTCCATTCAAGTGCCACTAGACATCATGCTGCCATAAGTTTGAGCTACCACAAGTGTTTACATGTTTTAGAGAAATCCGGGGGAGGTAAACCCAAAAGGTATGTTTTAGGTGTAAATTGGATCCAGGGATCAAAAAGCACTTGGATAAGAGTACAAAACATTTTGTATAAGTTGCAGGGCTTTGTGTTAGTTTTAACTGAGTAGAGACCATAGTCTGGAGCAAGCAATGCACATGTGCATCATGTGAGGAGGAGAGTGTGCACAACAATCAAGGATACAGGGGGTACATTTGTTCTGTCTTACATCTAATACCAGCTGGAAAGGGAACAGGATATTGTAGGAGATGGGACATCTGGATCCACCTGACTACAGGTGGTGTGCCAGTGACACTTGATGACGTCAAGGCAGTGGTTATTTGAAGACATTGAGGCAGAATTATCTAGTGGTGGAGAGTGATAGCAGAATTATTCTCTAAGAAGAGGAATTATCCTCCTCTGTCTTTTTATTCTCACAGGGTGAAGGTACTGGTTTTATAACAGTGAAGAGGTTGATGAAGAGGATTTTGATTCATATCTGCACATTGTTTGGAAAATAAGGACACATTCTATGAATGATAATACCACCACACTTGGGAGTCATACTTAATGCTTGATGTGCAAAGATTGTTTATTTTTAGTCACATTTTTTCACATTTGATTGGATCATGATTCATTATTTATTGTTAATCATGTAATGTAATTTACTATGGTTTATTTGATTACAGGCAGTCCCTGAGTTACAAACATCCAACTTTCATACGACTCATACTTAAGAATGGAGGCAGCATCGAGCCGGTCCCAGAAACCGCTGAGCTGTCATCTTGCTACTGACCACCTATTGTCCTGTGGACCTATCAACTATCCCACATCACTGCATGGGCAGTTAACAACTTTGCTATGCTATCCAAAACTTAAAAAAAAATTTTGGCTGGAGTTACACTTAAAATATGTAAACAACTACAGTGTGAGCCTCCTGCGCTACTAAATGAACAATGCTACCGAATGGGGGGGGGCTGCTAGCACCCAACCATATACCAAATGGATACTAGAGTAGACATATTATATATATATATATATATATATACTCCGCTCTCTCCTGGCTCTCTTCCTATCTATCACAGCACTCCTTCAGTGTTACCTATAACGCTGCCACCTCCCCCTCACTCCCCCTCTCTGTTGGGGTCCCTCAAGGTTCCAATCTCGGGCCCCTTCTCTTCTCCATCTACACCTCCTCCCTTGGCCAACTGATATACTCCCACGGCTTCAACTACCATCTCTATGCTGATCACACGCAAATCTATCTCTGTACCCCTCGTCTCACACCTTCAGTCTCCGCCCGAATCTCTAGCCTACTGAATAACATATCCGATTGGATGTCACT